TTTTGAAGACATTAAGCTTTTTCCGTTGTTTGTTTAATAACTTTGAATCTGTATTCTAACAGAAGCATAAAGTCTATGAAGGACCTAGAGAGTTCCTCCATAAAAGTCTACAGTAAAAAAAAAAAAAATAAAACTACATCCAGAACACCTTTAAATATATATATATATATATATATATATATATATATATATACATATATATTTCAGACCATTAAACCAATTTAAATATCAGAAAATAGAAGCTCAGTCATGATAAACATTTAAACTACTGGAAAAGTTATCTAACCTAATGATAATGTTAATCAACTTTTATGAAAAAAAATATATAAACAAGAAAAAGGTAAATAAAAACAAAAATACATCGTACAGTTCATTTAGACTGGAGCACTCTGCCTCCACACTAGAAGATGTTATGATATATTTGTTGTCCATTGCATAAAAACTTTTAGAATTCATTTATAATTTTCCTATTATCAAATAATTACTGTGAAAAATATGTTCAAACTTATTCTTGTGTCTGTTTCATGGAACAGTTTTACCTGCCGCTTGAAAAACATCAGCGCCCTCTTCTGGTTAGGGTTGACCATTGCACTTGATCGATTTACTTTGTTTGAATCAAATGATTTGTTTTTTCTATAAAAAACAAATCTAATGCTTTTCTTTAATTAATCATAATTTTACATCCATAATCCCAAAATTTATTCCTGGAATGTAATTAAACATGATTTAAAATGGATGAAAACATGTATAAATGGCTGTGTTCATCTGTTTGGTTTATCATGATTATGAAAAGAAAAAAGTACACTTATGGACATAAGCCACCCTTTGTCAAACTCTGAAACATAGAGATCCTTAAATATTTTATATAACTGCTTACAGAATTGCAGAAAATATAAAAGAATCCCTTGTGGCAAATCAGTTTCCTTCAGTCAGAAATATGGATTCTGCTTGTTTTTATTGTGAGCTGTTTGCTCTGACTATTCATGACTTAAGTGGTTCTTCTGCAAGCCTGCAGGTCAGATTTCATTAGCGGTATTGATCTGCTGGAGGCAAATGTGAAAAGAGATGAGTGAGAGGCTTTTAAGCCTGGAGGCAGATGTGTTTCATCATTGGAAAAATGTTTGAGACGATTCCCTGAGATGATTGAAAAAGCTGCAGCGAGTGCGATTTCCTTCAGCCTCTACAAGGCAACAGAAAGATGAGGGCAAATCAGTGGAGAAACGGAAGGTGCTGCAAAGGGGATGTCGTCAAATGAAAGAGTCTAACAAGATATTTAGGCTGAAAGCTGTGAAACTGATCCTGTCTGCACACTTACTAATAAAATAAGGAATTGATTGTTATTCTAGATGAGGAGGACCTGTTTGAGAGGCTGCAGATTAACAGAGGATACCTCATATAAAGACTAGTTTGTTCAGAACATTTTAAAATCTCAGTCATGTATTACTGCATCATAATGGGGCCCAGTCATCTATGACATTACAGATTTCTGCACCAGTAGCTCACTCTGATTGCATACTTTCGCATTAAATTAGGATTTTATTAGTAGCTTTTATTTTCTGTGCTTTACACTTTGGTTTTGGTTCATTTGTTTGTCAGCTTCAAAATATAGTGGATGACTTTTCAAATTAGATGGTTTAGGTTTCAACTGGATTCCAAAAAAGTATAACGCTGAAAAAGTATGCTTTTCCATGAATTCAACAAAAATAAAATAGACTTTAAATGAAATATAAATTATACAGGGGTTACACTTTTAAATCTTTTTAAGTGAAAGTTATTTTGATTATTTGTTATTTGTTTAGAGCTGCCTTTGACTGTTGAAGTTAAACTGTAAACTGAGGTATTATGAGTTCACGGTTGTGATACAATTTCTTTTTATTGGTTTTGCATGTTTTTTTTTCTTTAATCTTCATTTGCTTTTATTTTTCTCTTATTTTATTATCTAATTCATGTAAAGCACTTTGAATTGTCCATGTACCGAATTGTGCTTTACAAATAAACTTGCCTTACACTATTCCAGAAAAAGAACAAACAAAAAGTATGACAAAAAAAGTCATACTGTAGTATTTTTGTGTGAAAAACAGTAATCAGAGAAAGTAAAAAGCAACAATTGGGCAACCTGCTGTCAGTCAGTGTTGAGATGCCATGAGATAAGATTAGCGATGCTTCTAACCAACATTTATATATAAATATAAAACAAACTGTATCTTTGTTCTTGCAAATAATGAGCAAATTAGAGAAAAAATGTGCCTTTGATTTCAGAGCGTGCATTACTACTTTATAAAAAACTGTTACGAATTAATAAGCATCATTGTTACTTCCAACACTGCATGCAGTTGTGTAAGCGAGACCTGCCACGCCTACAGGCAGGGTCTAGGCATTGCTGCTGCAATCACATCATTTTTTTCAGAATCCAAGACTTAAACTTGAGCATAAGTTGTAGTTTCTCATGGCTATTGTCTAAAAGCAAACCTTGAAGGCGTTCCTTCGCCCAATCTGCTCGTTTATCAGCGTAGTTTGGCTTCAATTCGGATTCAGCTTTAATCTACTGAAACTCATAGGATACATAAATGCTAGTGCACATGCACAGCAATGGAAACAAATCTGCACAATGGCATTAGGCAAGCATAACACTTTAGATCAGCAGTGGGCAATTCCAGTTCCTGAGGGCCGGTATCCTGCAACTTTTAGATGTGACTCTGGTTCAACACACCTGAATCAAGTAATTAGATTATTGAGAGGACTGAAGGAACTGACTGCATACTGAGGAGGTAAGTCAGCCCTTTGATTCAGGTGTGTTGGACCAAGGATGGATCTAAAAGTTGCAGGATACCGGCGGCCCTCAGGAACTGGAATTGCCCAGCCCTGGTTTAGGTGAATGCTCTGGAACTTGAAGCTGAGAACAGATCATCCACCAGACCTTCAATCGTTTTCAGTATTTACCAAAAGAAGACCAGGTTACCACTGTAATTCAAATTAAATTAAATAAGATATTGCTCATACACCCGATAAGCCAGGAAGTTATGCAGCAAAGCAAGTCAGCATTTCCCCTGCGGAGGTGTTAAAAAATAATAAGCAAGATGCAAAGATAGATAAGACACCAGTAACACATACAATATGAATGCTGGTGTTAACTGAAGGAGTTAAAGCTCCATGCAAGTTAATGGATGCATGACTAAGTATTACCAGCAGATGGAGACAAAGTACAACAATGTTTATGTCTGCAGCTGCATAGGTTATTTTCAGGTTTTAAAAGAGGATTAAGTAAACACTATCAGGAGCATTTGGTTTGTGAGTGTTCTTTTTCTTAAAGGTATAGCACAACTCTGGGTCCCTTTAATTAATTATCCAACTTCAGTTCTTTTTTAATCACGATTATACTGAAAAACTGAATACTCCAAATTAAAAGAATGTGGGCCTTCTGAAAATTAGGTTAATGTACTGTTTAATATCTGCACTGTTTGGTGATGGTGGTGGGGTCTTTCTGCATAAAATATAACGTGATTGGGGTATGACTCCGCTAAACCTGGTGGTACACGTTATGCCTTATTGTAGCAGAATTTGTCCTTGTAGTACAGAGCAGGGGAGAGGTGAGCTCAGCAGCACCCAGAACCAGAATCTTTACTATGTCAATAGATGTGGACAGAACAAGGACCAGGTAAAACTTTCTACTAAAGCACAGAGTTGGAGGTGAAGAGAACCAGCTTAGATACATCCTGAAAGCATCAGTTTCATCAGGTCAGCTCCCAAAGTATGTTCCCCTGGTTTAAAGCTACAGTGTGTAATTTTCAGCGACATCTAACGTCCAGACTGCAGTAACATGAACATCTCCCCCCCACCGCTTCTCCCCCCCAACAGTACGGCGAGCGTTACGGGACAAAATGTCTTTCACGACGTCCGCATTACCTACCTTCTCAAGTGATGAGGTTTGTTTACATAGATAATTTTAATACTGCCATCTATTGTTCAGTACCGTCTCAGTTCATCTCTCTCAACTTGCCGTAGTTACTTTCGAGCGTAATGGGCGATCTCGCAATCTCTAGTTTGTTGGCTCTGCGCTGCCGTAGCGCAAAGATGTCTGCCTCCATGGCTGCGAGACCCGCTCCTATGTAATTCTAAATAACGAATTCTAAGGCAACGCAAATATTAAGGTTAAGAGGCTGAGCTCGTAGATGATGATAAATAACATAGTTATGTATAATATATTACATTTCTGACTGTATATCCCTGTAATTATTACACACTGTAGCTTTAATAAAACAACATTCATAAAATAGTTGAGGGAATATTAGCAATTTTCTGGGATAAACATCACTCATACGGTCAAAATGTCACCATTCATTACAGTCCTTTTGCCCGGTTAGTTATAAATTAACACTTTTTACCCCATAGAGAGCTTCTCTGGACTGCATTTTGGATATATATTTCATTAAATCCTTTTCCTTAGTAGTTTTAATTTCTACGGTTGGTAACCAAACATCAACTGGTTACTGCATGGCAGCACTTAGTGCTCCATCTCCAACTTTTCCATCATTTTCTACCACACTTCATCCTTCCACTACACTTTCTACTAATATTAATTTATATATCGCGTTGTACACAGCCAGCTGTTGAACAAAGACTTTGTTTGACTTATATACAAACCATAACAAAAGATTATTATGCCTTAAATCTTCCCCATCTGATATTATATTTCAATGTATCTGTGGTTTTGTAATCTTTATTAAATATGAGTGTATCTTATGAGTTTTCACTTTTTAAATTAAATTACAGAATTAATTTAACATTCAGATTATATCATAGTTTAGATTATTGCTTGGATGGAATACTTTTAATTTTCGATGTTTTCAAAGTGATTTGTTAGGATCTGTGATCCTGCATCGCCTCTTTAATCAGTTTGATCCATTAACTATTTAAAATAAATCAACTTTTAAATTTGACTTTAATATTTAGAAGGGAAAATATCTAAACTAAGGATAAAATAACAGTCACAGGTGAAAGTATTTTTTTTTCATCAGATATTTCTTTAATAACGACAAAGTAACCAAAAGTAAATAACTGGAATAATTCAGCATGGACAGGAACAACACAGGAGAAGGAAAATATGATAATTACAGAGTTTGGGAGAAAAAACCCCCCACAAAAGTGTAAAATTCTGATAAAAACAAAACATGTTGACGAGTCAGTGGGTTAAAAAAATAAGTCTGGAGTAGTAATCGATATCAAAAGGAATGAGGCGACGTAAACCAATTAGCCGATGTTACAGTGAAGCTGAACATTGGAGTTAATGGTACATTTATTTTGCTTGTCAGCTTGTATTCGCCATATAAACAGGAATGTGTCACCATCACAGAATTCACACAGATATGAAAACTCTGCCACAGAGTGTACCATTGGACATATCTGAATATTTACATCTTGCGTGAGCAAGCAAAGGTACTCAAAACATCTCGTTCTATAAGTGTTTCTCTTCTTTGTTCATACAAAAATAGCTCTTTACTATAATGGATCCAAGTTTACGTTGAAATATCGAAAAACCAATCTAAATGCAAATGCATATAAACCCCAAGATGACGGGTGTGACATCTCGACCATGGAGTGGATTTTGGCACTTTTTCATACAAACGAGTTACAGATCTGCCTCGAAGGGACGTCTACTCGGCATCAGCAGCGGCTGTCAAGCGGGTCCAGAGAGAAGACGGTTCCCTCTAAGGTTAGTCCCATTTTGAACCCCTCCTGTGGGGAAAACAAGCAGGATGATAAACGCTGCTCAGTGCTGGCTGATGAGCCCTGACCAACCTGTTTTATCTGGAATCTCAACGTGAGGAAAGTACAGAACAACAACCAACAAAGGTCAGCAGCGACAGAAACTGTTTGAAACATGCAAAGTCATGCTTTACAGTTGACTGGATGCAGTTAGTATCCAACATAGAGTGGAAATCAGACCAGTTTCTAATGAAGAAATAAAGGCAAAAACAGCACACGGGCTAAAAGTTAAAATCTCTTTTTATGCCTTATGCAGTCCTCTTTGGATTATGCAGTTCTGGAAGTAATTGATGTCATCCTCTCAGAACTAATGCTAACCGTAAAAGTAACCTGATTAGGGATGCACGATATTGGGATTTTGGCCGATATCCGATATGCCGATATTTTAAAACTCATGTAGCCGATAACCGATATCGATACTGATGTTAAAGCTGGACAGAAATAAGTAGTCATTGAAAATAGCAGTTTTGTTATCCATTTCTGACACTTTGAAAAATAATATACTCAAATATATTTTTATATGCTGATATCAAATTGATTTTTAAAAACGCGGTATCGATCTATTTTACTTTCAAAATCTCGTGAAATTTCATCGTTCTGTTACAAACTCTCGTGATATTTTGCAAATTCTTGTGAGATTTTGTTAGTAAAATAGATCGATACCGCGTCAATATATCAACATATAAAAATATGGCAAAATTTCGTGAATTTTCGGGGGATTTCGTAGCATAACGATGACATATAGCAATATTTCATTAGTAAAAGAGATTGATATGGTGTTTTTAAATGGTAATATATCAGCATATGAAGATATTGTGATATTTTAATGTATCAATATTTTTTCCCTCGTCTTTAGAAGTTTTTAAGTCTGTAAAAAAGAAGTTTTTGAGGAAGAAGAAGAAGTACAGTAGTATTTTATTTTTTTAGACTTTAGAAACTCAGAAGCTGATCAAATATCGGGTTAAATATCGGTGGGGTGGCCGATGTCCGATATTCAATTTTAAGGCCGATGCAGGCCGATAGCGATAGGGGGCCGATTATATCATGCATTCTTAAACCTGATAGTTATAAGTATAGTTATAATGTGAGCCTATACTGCTTGTCCTTTGTTTAAGGAGGAACAGAATGACCTAAGGGAAAGGCAATCAAATTAGCACTTTTCATCTCTTTATCAATTTTACTAATAGCTTATGATAGATACAAATTAAAGCTGGGTGTTATTTTTTTTCATTTACTGTGGCAATAACAGGGTTGTTGATAATTTATAACATGGTCCAGGTCAGAGGTCATAGATTAGCGGACCACGGACAATACAAAGTAGATTTGAGCAGATATCCGGGCCCAACCTGATTTAAAACATTTATAAATTACCGCGTGTTGTCCGATGACAGTGTCTAACTTTACTTGCGCCGCTTCTCCTGTTAATGCGGTCAGTCACTGCAGCGAGACATTTTTTAAAAAAGGCAGGCAAACCTGTGGCAAGCCAGGCAATGAGAAAAAAAAAGCAGAGAAAGTGTGGACTGCTGGAAGAAGCGTGGTGAACTGGTGAAAAAAAGTGAAATGGTGCTCAAAGATGACCCTGCACATTTAGAGGATGTTTGGCTCAACCTGCTGCTGTGAAGACGGATTCTCCACCATGAACAGAATCAAAAATAAATATGGATCCAGGCTCAAAATGAGCTTGATATGTGCTTGAGAATGGCTTAGTCTCCATTCACACCCAGGTTTAAAGCCTTGCAGGGCAGCCTAAAGCCCACTGCTCTCATTAAGCCATAAAAAATAAAAAATAAATAATGGTCAGTTCAAGTTTTTTATAAAATATGTGAATCAGGAAATTGTCAATAAACCAAACTGAACAATTGTTGTTCTCTAAAACAATTTAGATTTTAAAATAGAAACATTTTTCAAATTTTTAAAAAAATTTTTATTTAGAAATTCAATGTATAACATGGATGCATAGAAAACCCCATTTTATTTCAGTGTTAAATTCTGTTTAAAGTAATGGATTATAATTAAAAATGTCTCTGTAAATCTACTGGTTGATGATTTTCTTTATTCGGACCCCGCTGATTTTTAATTGGTTACCTCTGTTCTAGGTGAATACATGATACTGATTGGCTGCGGGGTGGGTGTTAAAATCCGTGCCTAATTGTTCTTAATTACTGGGTTGGCTTAAATGCTAGATTGTAACAGCAAACGAAAAGACTAAACACGACAACAGCTGCAGGCTGCCAAGATTTTAACAGCAAAAAAAAATTATTTATTTGCTATTTATTTATTTTCTAAGTGACCAAGGTTTAACGGGACATCGTCTTTTTAAGTGTTGATTATCAATGAATGGACTTCATGGAAACAACCGTCCTGGTTCACATCCGTCTTGTCCTTTGATTTCTGATAAAAGACGCCTTGTCTGGCCTTTTTACCTTACTTATTGTAAAACCTCTATGCTTAGAACAAAAATCTAAGTGCAATCATTACCAACTAAACAGTAAAACATGCTAAATTTTCTATTGCATGCAAGACATATATTCCTTTAAACCAAATCACATAATCTGCAATAAATGAGATATTGCATGTTTATACACCGGCCTCCATAAAATCAAAGACATACAAGCATTAAAGTGTAATTATTTTTGGTTTAACTGTTTATTTAACCATGTAACAGAATTTATCATCACTATGAATACATATAAAAAAAAATATCTGGAAAAAGAACATTAATTCAGGGGACGCTCCCCCATATGAACAGTTAAAAACTCAACATATCAGTGTTCAATGTAATCTATTGATTAGCCAGACAAAGAAAGTAAAATCATATTTGCTCACATTAACCAAACAGCTACCATAAGAACCTGGAAGCATCAGTGAGAACATGCAGCCGCGGCAGTCACAGCATGCTAGACAGGAAACTGTCACTACACAGACAGCAAAGCAAAGGGTACAAACCATCTCTGACGCTGAGAGGGAAAAGGACAGGAGACAAATTCCGCTGTTAGTAATCAAGGAAAGGAAGAAAGAATGGAAACAAATTCAAGAGTAATGTCGCCCCCTGCTGGCAACAATAACAGCAGAAGGATGTGCTGTATGAGTGTGTTTGTGTGAGCATTGCAGCCAACAAACCTGACCCAGTTCTACCTGGAGGAATGGGCCAAAATCCTAGCAAACTATCTAACCAACATCAGACAGTTTTTAGAGGGATTTCCAGTAAATATTATTCAATCCTGAATGTAGAGAAAGCTGGAAAATATATTTCTATTGTTCTGACATTTAGCAAATAGAAATATTTTTGGTTATTGTACCTGTGAATGTGCTGTTTCAACTGTTTGTGCAAACAAAGCAGTCTGTCAGCAGAAGCTCACCTGCATCTCATCCAACTTTGACTGGATATCTGGAGGGAAGTCGGCCGCCCCACAGGTGAACGGATCAAACGGCTCAGCTCCGAACAAATCTTTGCCTGCAGACACCAAACATGGACAGACCGCTTCTTAGAGCTGCAAACCCTCACTTATGGCGGGCAAAAATATGAACAAAGCTGTTCGCTCACTCATGTCTGGAGGCAGGGTGGTTGGAGGAGGAGGAGGGCAGCCATTGCTGGCCTTGGTCGGTACCAGCGGTGTAACGGGAGAAAAAGGAACCATGTCAAAAACGTCTGTGGACTGTAGTTTCATGGAGATGCTCTCAGCCTGGACAAAAAAAATACACAAACTGTTAGCCATCCCATCTGAACGCTCATCGAAAAGAGTTATTTTAGTACAGAGGTGGGACGGAGCAGTAGGAAAACCAGAAACGGTAGAAGAAGAAAGCTGAGGGTGTTTACACGAGGCCGTGGGATGCTGAATCCCTCGGTCGCTTTAGGAGGAGAGACAGTGGGTTTAGCAGGCGGAGGAGTTAGTAGCCCAGTGGAAACGTTGGAATCCGGAGAGCTCATAGGAGTGAGCGTGACGGAGGAGATCTCCAGACAGGACAGCGACGTGAAGCTGTGAAACCAGAAGAGAGAGGAGGGCCTCTGCAGCATGTGCGCTTCGTTTGCTGCGTCCACGTGCAGCGGCTGACGAGAGACGATAGACAGAGAGCCACCACAGAGAAAGGGAGTGGAAGTCAGAGAGTTGCAGCTCATTACATTTACAGCATGATGCTACGGCTGCCCCAATTATATTTAGAGTATATCGTGTTCCTCATCGGACCAATCAGGTGTGTAATTGGTTTGCAGCCACAGCCTCAGAAACCCGCTGGCTGTCCGCAGACCGGACGGCTGGCTCTGAGGCCATGCTTAGAATAACTAAGGTGATATCAGCCTAACCAGCTGTGTCTCTACTATGGGAAGTTTGGTTAACATTTCCAATTCGACTTTAGATCAGTATCTGGATGTTTGACTTTAAAACATCAGGTTGCTGCAAACATGATGGATGAAACTATTTAAGAAAAGTTAAATAATTTTAGCTCATTGATAAAACTCTCACAGCATCAAAAAATGAACACCAGAAACATGTGGTTTTAGCCCCATCATGTTTGAAGCACTGAGCCAGTTCCCTATAGGTCCATAGAGACAGTTTAGAGCTTAAATAAGACATAATGTAAAAGCCAGTTTCCTATCGCAAATTCTCATTATAGGAAAAAAATAGACAAAATGTCTTTTAAGTAATGCAGATGTGAGATATTTTGATTAAAATTGTCAAAGATCTCTATGCAGATGATCCAGAGGGAAAAAAAGGAAGCTAGTCAAAGTTTCTAATGTAAATATGCTGGTGAAGATTCTCAGTCATCCAGGTCATCATTCCAAAACAGTTAAAAAACAATCCACTGGACTTTGTTTCCAAGTTTGAAGATGTTTTACTTCCCATCTAAGAAGCTTTTTCAATTCAAAATGGCAGAAATAGCGTTGAGTTCGAGGCTTTATTCAGTGGACTAAAAACAAGGCCCTGTTTTGGCTTAGAAAACATGCAAGTTGAACTCAACGCTATTTCTCCCAATTTAAATTGAAAAAGCTTCCTGGACACATATGTATATATATATATATATTTACATACGTACGTACGTACATACGTACGTACGTACATACATACGTACATACGTACATACATACATACATACATACATACACATATATATATATATGTATGTATGTATGTATGTATGTATGTATATATATATATATATATATATATATATATATATATATATGTGTGTATGTATATATATATATATATATATATATATATATATATATATATATATAGTTGTTTTTTTTGTTAAAAGGAAAGGTGTTCTGGATGTATGAAACGTCTTCAAACTGGGAAACAAAGTCCAGTGGATTGTTTTTGAACTTTTTTGGAATTTCTACTGTAAACTCTTACAAACTCTGACTGTACCAGACTGTGCCTTAGAGCATGACACAGATTGTTTTTACACAAGAATGTTTCTCTATTGAATGGATGGCAATAGAAATGAGGCAGGATTTCTCAATTAGTCTTTTTTTTAAGTCCTCTGGAAACATCTTTATTGCCGTACTAAAGATCTAAACTTAGCCAGTGATATTCAGGACTTTAAAAGTATAAAGTGTTTGAGCGGCATCTGCTCCATACTTCAACATTAACCAGCAGCCGTTTGCATCGGTGCTGAACTGGTTTGGGTCAGTACATGTAGCTCTTACTGGTGGGACATGAGCTATCATCAGCTGCTCCTCTAGCTCTTGAAGTTGTTTCTTCAGCTCAGAATTTTCTGTTTCCAGTTCCTGAATCTATAAAATACAAATAAATAAAGAAAATTATCAACATGAACTGCTGACCAATTTTTTCCTACTTTTTGTTTGTTTTAGAGAATCTGTGTTTATTAAATGTTCATTAGACTTTTATTTCAAACCACTTTCAGTACTTGAAATAATTCTTAAAAAGCAGAATTCATCCATCAAACATGGACTTTTTAGGGCTACATTTACTCAACGAGTCTCTCTTTTACAAGAAGGTTTGGTAGTTTTCTCTGAAATTCACCCAGCTTTGAGGTCCAATCCACAGGGAGCCAAGAGCCTGCTGGGTTTAACCTCTTTGTGTTTATGAAGAGGTCTCCTAGGTTTGTAGTTAAGGGAACATGAGGGCAATGTGGTCAATGTATTTAATTTCTCTAATAACCAATGGATGTAGAGTGCAAAGGTGCAAATCTATTGTCTCTTCCAGCAATTCCACACTGAGGCCTGAGCGATAATAAACCACAAGGAGCTCCTGGTTCACACGCTCCATTACGTGCATTACCTGGATTTGTCCCACCTCCTTAAGGCTCTGTAGAGAACATCTATAGGTACCTTTGGGCTTAATTTTAGTCACACTGAGCTCTTTATTGAATGGATAATTTAACTAAATTTTTCATTACCTAATTTTTACCTGTTTTGTTAAGGAAAAGCAAACACAAACTGAAGTTTCACCAAGTAACAGTGATGCCATGAGGCTTTGCAGAATTGTTAAAGCTCCTATAACATGTTTTTTAAGGCATTTCAAAGTCACCTTTAGGTAAATATATGATGGAATTATCCTTTTAGCTCTTATTTATTATTAAATATGGTGGTTTTCTTCCAACCAGAAAGAGGTTGGGCTTTAAAGGAAAGGTCCGAAGGTCTGAGAGTACTTTAAGTATTAAATTATTGCATACTTTTCCAAAAAATATTCATTTGAATGTGCTTTACCAGAGACATCCATGTTTGTCCAAGAGCACTACTGCCACCTACCAGTTTGTGACGTCACAATGCAGTATCGGCTTTTGAGCATGTCCCAGTGCTCAATATGGTGTTTATCACAACACTCTATTATCCATGATGGCGACAACCAGTGCACTATGCAAAGCAGAGAGTAACGGATTAATTACGTGTTCTTTATCTCGCTAGAAGTCTGATTGCAAATCCTCCCTCTTCAAGTTGGCAATCCCACAGACTGCAGGAGAGACCTCACCTTGACGCCGTGGCTCTGTGGAAGTGCAACCTTAAAGCCAGGATCAGGCTGGAGTTTCACTTCCATAGAGCCACACAGAACATTGAGGATTTTATTCAGTTGTGGGGTTTTAAAAACATTTTATGTACTGTGTCAGATGATGGAGAACTGCATTTTAACAAGCTCATCATTTAATGATTTTTAACTGACACTTGTTTTACTATAATAGTGATTTTAATTGACACTTGTTTTATGTCAATTGTATACATGTTTGAATTGTGTAAATAAAGTGCTGTTAAAAGTCAAAAAAGTCACAACGAACCCGTCCGTGGAGGATCATGAATCAGAAAGGTGATATAACAAAATTCTTTTCACTTTTACCCGATGTATTCCAACATCCAGCAACCATGCACGTGGGCATTGTCAGTTTCACTATAGCTCTTGTGAATTTCAATCCTAAATAACTGGTGATTGCAGATGTGTCTAGTAGTTCCCATTGATTTTGCTTGTAAAGCGGGGAGAATGACGCTAGGCTTACCGCACCGTGACGTCACTGCTGGAAGATGGCACACTGCAAAAATGTTTTATCTCAATAAGTCTTTTTTTTTCTTAAAATAAGTGCATTTTTTCTTGACTTAAGGATGTAAGTGAGACACTTTGCCAATGCGACAAGACAATTTACATTTAAAATAAGAAAAAACAATTACATTGTCTTATTTCAAGTGCATATTTTCTATTTATCTTATTTTAAGAGTAGAAATACTAATTCCATTGGCAAATCTTTTTTACATACTCACATTAAGGGTAAATCCACTTATTTTAAGACATTTTTACACATTTTTAGATCGTTTTTGCAGTGCAAGAGTGAGGAGTTACTATATTTGAGCAAAAATGGACGCTAAAAAAATTTTATTTTATTTTTTTATTAATGAAAGCTAAATTCATTAAATTACAGCAAACGTATTAGTTTTTGTATAAGTAATGACCCGTTGATTATTTCTTGCTGCCCGGCTTTTCCTTTAAAGCACCTATAAGAGCCACTTCTTTTGTAATTTTGAGCTGGAATCATCGGCCTCTGCCTCCCAGCGCCCCCTCCCTGATCGGAGAGCGTGGGTGTTTGTTTACAGTGCAGGTGGAGCGCGGTCAAGCTTGCTGCTTCCTGGGGGAAGACTTCATGCATAGATATTCCCCATCTGCTTGTTTTCACAGGACAGGAAGTGGCTATTGCTCTGACTGAACCCATGAGGTTCAGATTCAGTTGAGAGATCAGTGATTCAAGCAAAATGCCACTCTGTGGCAGAGTGTGATAAAGGAATATAAATATAAAATAGTTAAAATTTAGAAGTTGATTTTGCAGGATATAGGCCCCTTATAAAGCAGATATGCGCCAATGGGATGGGGGTTACCATTTCCATTACTTGAGGTAAGTTAATCCATATTTTAAACACTCATTTAGTGAAATCCACTTCACTGTCCTAATAACTCAGTTTAAACAAACCAGAGGTCCAGGTCTGTGTTCCCAGCAGAAATCTAATCACAAACTGCAGAGTCTCTCATTAATATTCATTACTCTTGATTAATCGTGTACGTGGGGGGATTTAAAAAAAATCGATAAGACACAAACTCCGCATTAATTGATAAAAACGTCAATGTTTGGACACGGAGGGGCAGCTTTTATTGCCACTTGAGCCGTACTCTTTTCTGCAGCCCCCCGATCTGCTTCCTCGTCTCCACGTCTTTCCCTCCAGACTCCAGAAACTTCTTGTAGGCCAAGTCGAAGGCCTGCCCGATGGTTAGAGTGATCTCCTCCGCCTGTAAGCAACAGGGTTCAAACAGATGATTCGCGAACGGACCTGAACTGTCTCTCGGGTACGTTGAGCGTTCGTATAAAGGAACATACACGTACACATTTTTCACTGTCGAACACGTAGCAGAGGTGCTTGTTGGACTCGGAGTCTTTGCAGATAAAAGTGAATATCCTTTTATCCGTCTTGTCGTCTGCACAGAAGGATATCCTGTGTAACTGACAGTTATGCTGCACATCCTGCAACACAAACAAAGTGTAGGTTATTTGCAGCCTATATTTAGAGGGTTTATGTCTTTCCCTGCATGCTGGTGAGAGGGAAACAAACAAACAAAAATATAAGCTGGACTTACTTTTGTTTTAGGATCAAGAATTTTGACTCCATAGATGGAGATCTGAAGCTCCACTTTTGGGATCTTCTGGCCCTCTGACTTCTTGATGTGCCTCTGAAACTGTCAGAGAAATGAAAAGAACATGAAAAAGCTCACTGGAGTAAAACTCTACTGTTCGTAATTCATATTTTTAAAAGCTGCAAGACTCGGTTTCTGAAATGTTCAGGTTTGATCATCTAACATTTAACCTACTAAATGAGGCCTTTGGGGACTGGGAGAAATTATTTCCCTGAGCATCATGGGATGAACTTATCAGGATGTTCACCTCTGGTAAGACTGTCAGCTGTCTGAGACATTTTATCACTCTGGAACAATCTTCCTCTCTGTAGACTGATTCCTTATAACCCTCCCAGATCAATAGGTAGCAACAGCTGCTTCTGAGGTCTTTACTGATGTCTTTCCATTGTGGCATTGTGTGGACAAACACCTGAATGCTCCAGGGCATCTTTAAAAGAGGCGCTTGCGCCGATCATTATGTTTCCATTCCATCAGTAGCCCCTCATACCGTCACTCTAAAATCCTCTTAAAGCTGTAAGGGCAGATTTAATTATTTTTTTAACACATAGCTTTATACTTTTATTGAATCCTTTGACGTTGGTTGTGCATGGAGTAAAATTTGTTCCGTGTTTGACCACATCTGGTAAATGAAAAAAAAAAAGAAATTAAATCCAGAAATTAAACTTTGAAGTTTGAACATAGATTTTGAGAGGAACTTTCTTAGATTTAATTTTTTCATAAACACTTATTTTAATTCTTTTTTTTGTTTTTTACAAATCCTATTCTTTTAAAACTTTATTTATTAATTCATTTATTTTTTGTAGGAAAATTTAAATTATCTTTTCAGAACAAGTTTTCTGAATTGCATTATTTTCAGCTTTTCCATGGATTTACATGCTTTTCGCTTTAAGCCTAATTCAAACCCTTGCTCTTGATCAATAAAAATGTTTCTTAATTTCATGCAGACCAATAGAAATGCATCTTCACCCGTCACTCCAAAGTCTGACGAATAGGTAAAGAAAATTATCTGGAAATTGCAATTTCAAATTAATAGAATTTGTAAAACATAAGAAGAAGAGGAAAAAAAAAAAAAAACATAACATAAAAATATATAAACTTATGAATAAAATATAAAAAGATAAAGAGAAAATAGCAGAATTACTCATAAATCTTTTTATTTATTTTTCATTTCTGGGTATTTTTTTTCTTCTAATTTTCCTTTATAATACATGTTTAAAATTTGCTCTATAGTTGTTCTCTGGATGTTAGATTTACACAAATCATCAGACCTGGTAAGTTTTTCTATACTGCTCATTAATTTGGCTTCAGAAGCTCAAATGTGTCAAATCCCAGCCTGACTTTAAAGGAGTCTGCAGTCTGGCTGCAAACTGATTTATAAATTCAGAGTTTTTAGGCTGAATCAATTCATCTCTGTGTCAAAGACAAGTTTAACCTACAGAAAGTCTATTTATTCATCTGTGTTTTCATTAAAAGCATGCAGGGATTTAACTGTTAGAGGAGATTTTGCGGGTAACTCTGCCTCAGACCAAATCTATTCTTCTGGAGGTGATTAAAGGAGGCATATTTGAGCTCGTCTCGATGGCTGCTGCTTCTGGAAGGGTAACCAGGGAGCTTCGGGCAGAGAGTGATCTCCAACATGAGATGTGTAGCAACAATGGAGTGCTAGCTTTGGGAAAACATGCCACCCCCACAAGGGGCCTATCAGATTCAGCTCTTGGCAGCAGGAGTCTGGTTTGAGGCCAGCAGGCAGTCGGCACAGAGGCGTGGGTAAAAGGCTGGGAAGGAGATCTTCCCAGGCCTAAAGGTCTGTTTAAATGGTACGAGTCTGGATTGATATTTATTCTGGGAAAAGGCCAAGGTAAATGTCATTCACTGGGTGAGTTCAGTAGGACCATGTGCTTAAATCCTGGAAAACATGTACACTGGTTTAACTGGTTTTTCATGACTTTCTTAGCATCTGGTTTGCCAGTAAAACTCCATCATGATCCACACAGGCTCACCAACTCACCAACAGCAGGACATACCTCAACTGATAAGACACTCTGATTGGTTTAATACTTTTCCAATAAAATGGTAAGTAAATAATCCAACAATCAGATTAGGTCTAAACAAACCCACAGTATGGCTGTCTGAGGGAAAGGTTTCCAGTGGTGCTAAATGCGAGTTAATAAAAGCAGTTATCTAATATTTTATGACCTATACGTCTGAAAAACACATATTTTGGTTACTAACTAGAAGTTTGTCTTGATTACCAAGCAGAAATTCATTTAAAAGTATGTCCATCCATCTTATAAAAAAGTGTTTTCATATTTTATTCTTGATTAAAAATGTTTTCTAACTGAAGGATCTATTTATAGAAATTTTTGTGTGTAATACATATGAAAAATATACAGGCACTGAAACATTACTCCCTCTGACCCTGGAATTGACAAACTCTTCAGTAATGATGTGTTGAGAAAAGTTTATATGACCCCAAATACAATTATATAATCACCAAATTTGTCCTTCAACCTAAACCAGATCTAGAAAATCAGCCCCCGGAATAATTTGTTTGGATTTGCCTTATCTGAAGCACAGAAAGTTTCTTCACTGTTGATGATTGGGAGTTTATTTACATATATGTTTTACACAGAGATATTTAAGCATCTCGGTGAAGGAAGTGATTATCCGTCTGATGATGAATCCATCTAGCAGAGTTTTCCATGTACTGGGGGGAGAGGCTGAGTGGACAAACTGCTTATCTTGCACTTCCAGCCATCAACACTTGGAGCTGGGAAAACTCCAAGGGCACCTTGCTGATGATGAACTGGAGGGGGGGTTTGTCACTCCGTCCCATCAGCCCCTCTGTCCCCTCCAATCTGCTCACTGGCGACAACCTGAGCTCTCCTGGAGGCTACAGATCCGACTGAAGACTGATTTTACCTTCAGTTTCCTCACTGCATCCTTCACAACCTCTGTGCCTTTAGGGGCTTCAACCTCTGTGTTTCCAAGGAACTGCAGGAGAAAAAAGAGAAAAACATTGCTTATGTAACATGAGTGCAATACTTCAAGTTCTGGAATAAAAGATGATAAAGATGACTGTGGTTATATAACTTTTCCCATACAGGTTTCTCCTGCTTTTTACTGTTTTGTCAGACACACTTTCCAGATCTTTTAAACTAGTTTCAATATCAGACAAAGATGTTGGGTTGCAAAGTCATTTCTGAGCCTCTTGGACTCCAGAGAACTACAGTGAGAAATTGATCCATAAATGGAGAAAACACAGATCAAAGGTGAACCTTCTTACCAGCTCCCAGGACTAATAAAATTACACCAAAGCTCATAAAGGAAAGTCACAGAATAACCTAGAACACTGTCTAAAGCTCTGTGGGCTGCAGTGCCACAGTTAGGGTGAGAGTTTGTGATTCAGCAGTAAGAAAGAGAGACTAGGCAAAAATGGCCTCCAAGAGAGAGTTCTAATGCCTGAACCAGTGCTGACCCAGAAGGATTAAAAGGCCTGTCTCATTGTCAGCAAAGAGATCTTGATCTCCAAGACTTTTCAGAAAATTATTTTGGGGACAGACACTGCTTAGAAGCCCGGGTGTCATTAGATCTGGCGTAAAACTGCTTAATGTACCACATGACAAGGGGATGGTGTTGTGAAAAAACTGTTAGTTAAAAATTATAAAATTCAAAGAAAGTTTCTGGGTCATTGAAGTAGATGAAAATGTTTATCTAGAGGTTATTTTTGGTTCCAATCAACTGAAACTACAATAAAATTCAGCAATGGAATATATGTGTCAAACCAACATTTTTTTCTTACATTTCTTGTTCTAAGATTATATCTGAGAATACAAGGAGCAAAAAACGAGTAGTCTCATCATCTTTTTTTTATTAGTCTATATTATAGGTGAAGTTATCAATACAACAGCACAAAATACAATTGTAAACATGCTATTGCAAGCATAACATCTGAGTTTAAATCCAGGTAATGGAAGTTTATGAAAGAATTTGCATCAAATATATCTTAAGAAACAAAATAAAGACTCTTTTTGACGAATTTTTGAAAAGACCCGCCCTCTCCACTTAAAAAAACATGCACAACCCAAGCACTGTGATGAGGATTTAAGATTTTATTCCTTAGTAACAGAAAAGGAGATTTTTTTTTCTCTGTGCACAGATGTTTTTTTGTGTTTAGGGAAGAAAATAGAGAAGACAAAACATCATTAGTGTTAGTTCAAAAAAATACCATATAAATTAGGAAATCTGAGTTCATTATGAAATGGTAAAACACAGGAGTCCTGCATTGTGCTTTCCTCCAACAGATGGCACCATTTTACTTGAGCACAGTGCAGCAATCAGCCTCACAAACACCCCCAGCTGCTCAAATATTAGACTTCATAAATAGTTCTGTCAAGCCCTTAAAGGTTGGAGAAAACAAAATAAAAGGTTCTCCGATCTGAGCAAAGCAAGCAGATTCCACAGCCATGGTTCATCTTTGCCGTTCAACATAAATCCTAACTCAGGAGCCTGGAATAATGTGCCATCCATTCTCTTGTCGCCTCTATAGAAATGTGCTGTTCCATCCCTACTTTCACTGACACTGAGAGTGTTTATTGCTCCTGCACTCTCTTCATAAGTTAACATTACAGCATTTGACAAATAAAATATAAATTTTACAGCTAATTAAATATAAACCGCAACTCTTTTTTTTATTTTGTTTCTTAACACAAAAGGAGAGAGAAACAGTAGCAGCACCAAAACGTTCCTGCTAACCGGCAAAAAAACCCCCCAACAGATCGAGCCTTTATTCAGAAGTGTCAGCACTCTGCCTCGGCGTGACAAATGAACTCTCTGCAGAGTCGCGGTCATGTCGGCGAGTGCTGTGGCCCAGAATAGAAAAGAGCAGAGCATGTTCTTGACCGGAGCATTGTGGGGCTGCGACTGGGGACGTTTCAGGAGGCAAATCAAGCTCCGAGGCTCATCCATCAACTGATTCATGCATCTGAAAAATGAGCCGCCCCTCCCTTTTCACTGCTAAACATATTTCAATCTCATGGCAGGCCTGAGGAGTTCATTCAGATGACAACATGAACTTCAACCTCAGTACCAGTGCAGCGTTCTCCTTTAGACTCAGTCAGAGGGCAGGGACTTTAATGAGTCTAATTTGAAACTAAAAGCACTAACTGTAACTTTAATGACAAATGGCTGCCAAGAAAACAACTCTTCAACATTTCTCTTCTTTGGCTTCCAGGCTAATGACATTTTCTGATTCATAACTGATCCTATAAGAAAACAAATAACCACTTCTGAGCTCTACAAACGGTGTCACTTTAAAAAGGATGGTGTATATGTTCTATCCCTGTCATTATTTAAACAAACAGATTCCTAAGAGTTACCAATTTCATTTACCGGTAAATGTAATGTTTCAGACAAGAGTCAAAGTTTGTAAATGTACTTTTGAGTGCCAACCAGTGATCCAGGGGAAAAAAACTCTCCCCCGAAAACAGTGACCTGTATGGAAAAACTGCAGGTATTCATTCTGGTTCAAAAGAGGAGGAACAGACAATATGATATTAGCAAAAGTTGGTTAAAGAGCTGAGGAGATCTGAAAGCAAGATGCTGCTTCCGGATGTTTAGTTCTTGTCCTGGAAGGAGTGAAAAGATTTACCAGGACCTAACATGGTTCTCTGAGGTGTGTTAATGTTAAACATCAGCCGGCTCTGTGGTGTTTACGTAGCTTCACTGGCTATAAATGAGTAATAATCTCTCCACCTTAAGCCGGGCATACACTGCGATACCTTTCTATTGTTGCACGCAGCTACAGCTCACGCTATATGACGAAACTGCAGGTTTTAAAAATTCACAGCTCAATATGCATGTTAGCACACTGTGCGGCCCGATGCTCTGATGCGATCTAATTGCTCACACTGTACCTCTAAAAACCACGTCGGACTCAGTTCCGCAGTGAGATGGCGCTACTCAGACTTCTATCGAGTAGAAGAGGAATATGAAGCTCACTAGAGTGAAATGCGCTGCCTTGGCAATTTGTGCAATTTTGTGCTGAAAGCCCTAAAAAGAAAAGGCGACGACTGGGACATTTCACTGGGACCCCCGCCATGCTTCTGTGTTTTTGTCTGAGAGGAAGAAGAAGAATCCTTGTTTGCCCACTGAGCGATTTGCCCACAACCACCTTACGGCGGCGGACTGAATTTCAAACATGTTTTGTTTTCTCCCGACTTACGATTGCTGATCAGAGGTGGTCATGAGAGGCTGATCGCCCCTTGTTATCCCCTATACACTAGATGACACACGATCAGGTTGAAAGTCGGCCCGATCGAAAAATTCTCGGAAGATTTGAGAACAAGCCCGAAAAGGGCAAAAAAAATGGTACAGTGTATGCCTGGCTTTAGGAAAACTTCTTGGACCAAAACAAACACTTTAATCTTTTCTGCATAAAGTTTGACACAAAATCTTTGGTATTATTTTACAAGCTACTAAAATGACAGTCCTGAACTGTAGCAAAACTGTGACAATATTATATAGCAGACTGTCATTAACATCGTTGTAATTTTGTGGTACTGTGTAGTCTGAGCTGGAAGGAGAACACAGATATCAAACCAAATGTGACACAAAAACAGAGCCTTGATGAACTCCATGTATTCCCTTTTTTAATGTAGCACTTTGAGATTTGAAGTCAAATGTAAAGTGCATTATAAATAAAATTCATTATTATTATTATTATTATTAATTTTATTTGATTGGATTTAAAATGAACAAATGACTCAAAGTGGTTGTTATCTGACCAGTAAGATAAAAAACCAATTCATCGCAATATCAGACGGTCCCATCCGCTTTTCCAATGTAATCACAATGGCACTATAGCAGCAGGGGGATGGACATAGTTAGTTCACCTTAATTTAAGAGTAAAGTCAACACCAAGCCTTTATAAATAGGCTAAAAGGTGCACTAATATGAAAGGGACTATTCCAGTTATTATAAAGCCGTTTAGTGTTAAAGGGCTTTAAGGCAGTTATCCAAACTGCTGTGGAAAACTGCTTCATCTTTTTTCTATAAACAGACCTAAAAAGTTAATCAATTATATAATTATCAGGTTAATCAACTCTGATTCCTGTCGGCTCTTAAAAGCACAAATCGCTGTTAAAAATAATCAATAATAATTTGACTCTCTGCCTGAAGAACAAGATATTTCTGTGAATAAGCTCCATGCTGCCTGGGTGTCCTTGTTAATCTGATCAGTCAACATTATTTTCCGAGGGTTTCATTATTAATAATACTTCCTTTTATTTATTTTCATTTATCAGACTCCCTCACCAACTCCTCTATTTATTTTTTTTATAACAATATTGACCAGCTGGCTCATCTAAATACACAATGATGTTCTTCCTATGCTTTTCATGGACCATACTGTAGCAACCATTTAAAATGGTCCTACCCAGTCAAACGCCAGCCGAATGGCAGCCATCTTCCAGCCACTGGAGCGACTCCCTCCTTCTGATGGGTATGCATATGTTTTTACTCTGACTCCAACCTTTCACTGAATTACAAGGTCTGACCAGGAGATGACGCTTCTCTTTAGGTCTTAATGTCAAAAAATCATGACAGAAAGAATATTTTAGTACAAAGATTGATGTTTAAAAAAGGAACTGTAGGGGACCAGCCAAAGGCCCATCAAGGAAAGTGGGGAGCTTTTAAATGTCTACTACTGTTTATGGTTGAATGTGAGCATGAAATAGTCTGAATATAAGGTGGCGCTTGGGCACAAACTTAAAGGCACAGCTGTGATCTATAAAGGAAGATTTCTTGGTTTTGCGTATGGATTAATATTAGGAATTTGGGGCATAATCCATTTTTGAGTGTTTGGCGTACATAAACTTTTGATATGGATTCAACGGCATTCGTTAGAAATGAGACTCCAGGGTATTTAGCCAGTGACAGACTGTATTTGATTGTTTAACACAGCAGTGCTCAACCTTTTTTGCACCACGGACCGC